TTTTTTTTGGACCATTTCTCGATTTATGTGGTGTCATCCTTGCGCAGGGGCCATGCTAATCTTCTCTCAGTGTATCGCTCCAACTTTGACAGATGTCCCGAAGGACAGGTTGGCATCTTTTCTAATATTCAGTTCAGTGCTATGTTGACTGTATTTGAGAGCACCCGCCTCCTTTTTCGCCGGTTATGAACAGCCAGATGTCTTTGTTGCAAACATGATGCAGCGTTCAGAGGTGGTGCCGTTCTGGTCGTGACATGCATTGCACTGCTGCACAGTTGCGGTATATTACACCCCTATTCCATGACGCCAGTTGATAGTGTCCTACAGGCAACATGTGTGTCATGTCTGCACTCCTATCCTCAGGAGATGACCCTCCTGTAGACGCAGTCATGGAATCCAAGTTAAATCTCTTAAACCGCCAGTACACGGTGCAGGCCTTGCAGAAATCCGTTCCTCGCTACTCCTAAATTTTGTGGGGGTTGGGGCCACCAGACCGCAATGGCTGGTCTAGCCAGCCAGGCAAAAAAGAAAAGAAGTGTGCCCCTGGCGGTTCAGGCAAGGTTGGCATGCGGTGTGGCACTTCCAGACCCGGGTGTACTGGTGTTTTTTTTTTTTTTTCCGGATCCCAACTCACAACACACATGCCCATTCTATTCCGGGGGGATGGAAGTCCTGCTGCTTATCACCGGCAGGCAAGTACAGACAAAGGTAGGAGAAGACAAGGTTGGGTAGAACAGAGCTGTGGCGGTGAGGGGGTATCAGGTCTGGCAGGCACGAGGTCTTGCATATGGCAGGAGCAGAGGGGACGTGAACTCGTGGCCCTTCTCTGCCCTGATGAAGGTCTCGGTTCAACTGGTCACCGCTCAAGAGTGTTGATCGGGGTACGGGCCTTGGACCCCCTCCCCCCGTGAGAACAAACAGATTCAGACCGGTGATGCTCTGCACTCCTCCCCTCAGCACATGACCCTCCTGTGGACACACCCATGGAATCCAAGGACAGTCTCTTAGCCAGTTACCGTGCTGAGTGTTCACTGATAGCCTTGGCCTCAACAGCTAGTTGTCTTGGCTGCTGTGACTGTGACATCTTGGTTGAGCTGTACCGGTGGTGACATCCATCTCACACTAGATCTGCACAACTACACAGATATGGATGGGCGATCTTGGCCTTGACAGCTAGATGTCTTTGCCACTGCGACTGTGACACCTTGGTGGAGCCGTACCGGTGGTGAAATTCAACCCAACCAACGTGGTTGGGATAGGTTGTGACGCCACGTGAGACTGTTCTTCAGGCAAGAGGTGGCGGATATCCTCACTCTTCTCCTCAGTTCACAATACTCCACCCCACGCCGACATGCTTGCAGTACTATGACTCGCGCACACTTGCGACACCATTCGGGGTCATCCTGCCTCAAGTCTTGCATCTGTTGCAGCACAGCTATTCTCACTGACCATACCACTTGCTCAGGTGTTTATCCGTCAGTGAGTGGGCGGAAGGCTGGGAGACGGACAAAGCGGATCAGATCGTCAGCTGAGGCACTCGCAGACCAAATAGCTGCGCAAGCTGTTGGTTGTGTCGGTATTCTTATCAGCTACGGTCATTAAAGCTGTATTTGGGGTATTATAGCTTGAGGCACTTGATCAGATCGTCAGCGTCAGCTTACGGTCATTATAGCTGTACTTGGGGCACTTTTCAGTCTAAATACAGCAATAATGAGTGTACGTTGTATTCGGGTGAAGAAGGTTGACCACTCTTATCATAGTTGTGGACATGGAGTCAAGCTGGCACTAATTCCGTTTACTTCTTCGCTTCCAGCAGGTTCTGTTGTGGTCGCCTTCCCTTTTTCTGCTTCTGTTCTTTTTCTGATATGGTGATCTTTCTACGACTTTCTTGGCTGATTCTGGCCGTATTTGCAGTCAGATATGCACAGTAAGTCCTAGTGTGCGTGAGCATGCCCCAAGTATGCGTGAGTGTTCCTTTTTTTTCTTTTCTTTCCAAGACATTCGTCGATTTATGCGCACCATCCATGGGCAGGGGCTATGCTAATCTTCTCTGTATTGTTCCAATTTTAACAGATGTCCCAAAGGACTATGCGTGAGCGTTCGTAGTTATCTTGGTCATTCCAAGTGCAGGTGCGTGGGTGAGCAGGCAGAGCCCGGCAGACGGATGAGCTGGACTTAGTGAACTACGCATGTGTGGAAGACGCATGTGCTCAGGTTTGTCAAGCATGAACAGAGATGGCCTTTGCTGTTTCTCTGTTGCGTAATTCTGTATGTTGTGAGCGTAAGAGAGCTGGAGCTGAAAGTGCCAAATTGGACGGCTTCAGTAAGCACATTTGGGCTGTTGCAGAGGAGGAGGAGGAAGAGAAGACGGCTTAGAAAAGGAAGATGGGTTGGGGGGGGGGGGGCACATTGCATATGGATGGAAACGTCTGTCTGGAGATCCGTAAGTCTGGAGACAGATCCCATTTGTGGATGTTTTGTTTTGGTGTACTCAAAAATGTTTCGTCCGTTTTTGCACTTCGAGGGGAAAGGACCGACTGCCCACTCTAGCGTTAAGAGTGCTCAAGCAATGGCATCGTAATCTCGGATAGATGCGTTTTTCTCCAGGCTGTGGAGTGCCCTGTCCAAGCTCGGCCACTACAGCCTTTACCCGAATAGTACACCCGGTCATTATCGCTGTATCTAGACTGGAAGTTGCCCCAAATATGGGCATGAGGACCAGGCGTTCTGTTCGGGGGAACACAGTAGCGTGCATTTTTTTGGTTTGCACATGGCTAAATATGGTAAAGGAGATGAAAAGTGGGCAAGTGGACATTGTGACCTCCATGAGGGAAATGCCTTGATGGATGAAGGGATTTTAATGGCCAAAAAAAGTGGGGTGGAGGCCTGGACGTCAAATGCCCGAGCAGACATCCAGACCTCCGCTGGAAGAATCTCTTCCATGGTGACATATATTTTTCTCTTCGTTTGTGCATGCTTACAGAGACACAATGGGGCACCCGCTGTTAGGGGCGCTTCTTTTCTTGGTGGCCCTCTTCTCAGAGGCATTTCGTCTGACAGGTGAGCTTCCTCTACCTGATTGGAACAGACTCATACCTGAAGTCAATTTCTCTTTAGTGTGAACCTTGCGCTCCTCCATATGTTGTCCAAACCCTGACAGTGTGCTGTGTTTGCCTTTTGACACATTTGTTTGGCTGTTTGCTGATCTGTGACCTTATTGTGTGAAATTTCGAATGAACTTCAATGAAGGGACTGTCGAGGAGTGGATTTATTCCGTATGGTGTCAATTTTGTGGTTGCTCTTATAACCTCCGAAATGGATGGCTGGTATTTGATTTTTCTTTTTTTTTGCAAAATCATGCTCGTCCCGTGCCAGAAGTCAACCGAACGAAGGGCCTCGCTCTACCACTCGCCAAATGTGAAAAATGGCGAGTGTATATTTCCAGTTTTAACGGAAGGACTCACTCACCACTTGTCACATTTGAAGAGTAGTGGAGCGAGGCCCTTAGTGTACCAAGGCTTAGATAAGTTGGATTGCTGGCCTGTCTGTCTGTTGTTACTTTGCCTTAATATTTGAACGCCCTTCCGAATTCCGTACCACTGCAACCCTAAGGGCCTTGCCACACCACTGTCAAAAGGAAAAGAGAATGAATGCATATTCCCACAGATAAGGGCTAGATACATCCATTACTATGAATAGCAACGGATGCATCTTACGGATTCTTACCGCTTTCTATGGAAAGATGCATTCGTTCTTTTTTTCATTTTGACAGTGGTGTGGCGAGATCCTTAGACTGGCCCTGAGAATTTGCTTCCATTGCATGCAATTTGTATTAGACCTAGGCAACCATTGTGGAAGCTGCCGTAGAACCCGCAGGTACAGTTTACATCCCGTGTGTGTGACCGGGCAATGGAGTGGTCGGGGTCAACTGCTGGATTGGAGCGAAGTGTGTGACTACTGCCACGTCCGTGTGGTGTTGTGTGTGTGTGTGTGAGTGAGTGAAGGACGCTTTGTGTGTGTGTGTGAGTGAGTGAAGGACGCTACAGCCTTGCAGGGGCGGGATGGATATCACGATCGATATGGTTTTAAACACCGTGTCTTGGCTGTGGTTCAACTTTTAAACACCGTGGTCAAGGGTCTTGGCTCTTGTGGCCAAGGGCACCGGTTCAATTCCATGTGGGCACCGGTTCAATTCCGTGCTTGCATGAAGGAGGTCTGAGGCCAAGAAAGTTGGGTCCATAACTACTAGGCTACCATAGTGGCCAGGGACCACATGCATGGCCGGGCAAAAAATAAATAAATAAATAAAACTGAATGTGGTAAAGAATTTCAATGTGACGCTGAGGCAAAAGTTGCTCAGTTGATTTTTTGGATTTTTCTTTATAGGCTGGGACCTTCCCTGGCCCTTGCACGGCCTTGCCGCCTGGGCAACCAAGGCGATCTGAGCGGCCCGGCTGGTAGCCCAGTACTGGACCCAATTGTCCCCTCCTGCACCTGTTTGTTCGCACTTTCCCCCCTAATGGGCCTAATCTATTCAATGAGGAATGTGGAAGAACCGTACCCCATTACACCTGCCTGCTGTTTCTATTGCCTATGATTTTGGTTTGTTTAAACACCAGTTCACAGGAACCTAAGTTGAAGAAGCTACCTTCCAAGGCACATGAGCCCTCAACTGGGACTTTTCATAGGAATGGACCGGGGAGAGGCAGCAGGGGCCACACTCCATTTGAGAGAGCACGAGTGTAGGCTTCCTAGTCCCACAGGTGAAGTTAAGACTGTTCGCCTGTTCCATGTGTCAGGAGTATACAACACTCTGGCACATTGCTGTCTCAGTGCTCCCGCGTTGGCGTGTTTAGTGAAGGAGCAATTAGACGAGCAGGTATTTGTAGCCTATGTTAGGCCAGTTACTGAGCCTAAAGAAGAGAGACCCATAGAACCTGCTATTGCCAAGCTGCTGGAGGAGTATGCAGACTTAGCTAAGCTGCCTACAAGAGTAGTGCAGCGGCCGACCCAACATCGCATAGAGATAGAGCCTGGCAGCAGGACTCCTAAGGGAGCCACTTATAGGATGTCCCCAAGGGAGTTAGAGGAGCTGCGTAAGCAGTTGGACGAGCTCCTCGAAAAGGGTTGGATTAGGCCCAATTCGTCTCCATTTGGAGCACCTGTTCTTTTCGTCTCAAAGAAGGAGGGAGAACTCGGGATGTGCATAGACTATAAAGGTCTCTCAACGCCGTCACTAAAGAATGCAGAACCACTGCCCCGTATAGATGATATGTTGGATCGTTTTTAGGGTTGCAAGTATTTTTCAAAGATAGATTTAAAATTTGGTTATCATCAGATAGAGGTTCACCCTGATGACTAGTAAGTATAAGATGGCGTTCCATACGAGATATGGGCACTACGAGTTTATAGCCAGGCCCTTTGGACTAACCAATGCGCCAGCAACATTCCAGCGTTGTATGAATGATTTGTTTAGGCCGTGGTTAGACAGATTTGTGGTAGTGTACTTAGATGACATTGCAGTTTTAGTAAGACCCTCCAGGAGCATGAGGGTCATCTGAGGCAGGTCTTGGAGAAGCTTAGAGAAGTTAACTTCAAGATCAACGCAAAGAAGTTCGAATGGGCCAAGACACAAGTTTTGTACTTGGGCCACGTCTTAGACGGAGACGGCATAACACCTGAAGACAGCAAGATAGCAGCGATTAGAGATTGGCCAACGCCTGGCACGCTGATAGAGTTGCGGTCGTTCTTAGGCCTAACTAACTATTATAGGAAGTTTGTCAGAAACTTCTCCACCATCGCTGCACCCTCGTCGTTTTTTTTCCGCTACTTATTGTGCTAGCCTTCCCAGGTGTGATGCCTCTATGACTACTTTACTGTCTATGGGAATGTCCTTCATCTCTGTGAAGGTCTGAACTGCTTGCTGCCTTGTGTCAACAAGGTGCAGTTCCCATGGGTCAGTCCGTGACGAGTGCCACCAAAATAGGCCAGCATTAGGCTAGCCAGTGTAAATGTGATCAAAGCAGCATGGTAGCTATGGCGACCAGTCAGTCTCTGCTGCCTCCCAGTGATCCAAGGCTTCTCCCCACACAAAGACTTGTTCACATTGCACTGCTCCTACCTCCACTCAGTGCATCCTGTCACGACCAAATGGTCAAAAAAAAAAAAAAAAAAGGGAACCAGGTTGATGCGCCCCAGAATCGGAGGAGCTGTGTGTTACTGAAGGGGAAAAAAAAAAAAAAGCCAACAACAAAAACAACGTTCTAGCAGAAGATTCATTCTAATTTTTACGCCGCCATATGTTTTGTCTTTTGTGCATGTGGTGAGTGGAGGGCCTTAGGGCCACTGCTCGTATTCCTTTCTTTTTTTTTTTTTTGGACCATTTCTCGATTTATGTGTGTCACCCTTGCGCTGGGGCCATGCTAATCTTCTCTGTATCGTTCCAATTTTAACGGATGTTCTGAAGGACCACTGCACGTATTCCTAAGAAAAGAAAAATGAGAAAAAAGAGAATTAGTGACCCATAGTCAATCCCCTGGAGCTCAGGGTAATCAATGCTGGCAGGAATTCTCTCACAATGCTTCTCTGATGTATCCATTTTCAGATTGTATAAGGGACGCTGGACCCATTTTCCAGCAAATGACGCTCCCCACCAATAGATGGAGCCGCCCCCCAGGTGCTAGTGGTGTCTGCTTTTACCAGCACCACTATCACTGGAGGGGGTTGTTTTTTGTAAAAAAAAAAAAAAAAAAAAAAAAAAGAAAGTGACCCATAACCGAGATGCACAGACCTGAATTGGAATCCAGATTATATATTCTCGGCCCACGTATACAATCTGGAAGTCTAAAGTCTATCTCCGCTCCAAGCGGGGTCCTCATTTATCCGCTTTGGGGGCCCTTCGGAAAAGAGACTGGACACAATCAGGACATGCACACCCACAGGCACAGACATGTGCCCACAGTTTTGGGGTATGGCGTGGGCCCGACATTTTTCCCTCTTGCTTTCTCCTTTTTAGAAGCGAGGGGCATGTTTGGCCACCCCACCCGATTTTTATAAATTTTTTTTTTTGATGCGCCGCATCACGTGTGCACGCATGCATGCGCGTGCACCGCATGTGCCGCGACTTTGCGCACGGGATGCACCGCAAGTATGATCGAAATTCTTTGCGAAATCAAAACTAAAAAATATTTTAGTAATTTTTACTTCTTAATATTTTATTTTTTAATTTATTTTTGGCCTGGTCGTGCAAGTGGTCCCTGACCACTCTGGTAACATAGTTGTAGAAGGGCCTTTACCCGATGTAGGCCTCAGGCCTTGTAAAAGTAAAGCAGTATGGGCCTTGTAAAGGTAAAGCAGCATGAAAGGGTATCTCGCCAGGGCTCAGAAACGTGAAAGCAGGTCAAAGGTCAAATTCTCTATCAACGGGCACATCCAAATCTAAAGCAAAGGGTATTGTCAAAAGACTTACCTGTTCACCAGAAGATGGGCATGTCATGTCTGTTCGGGTAAGGGTGTGTCTGTACGTGCAGACAGTGTACCTGTTCGTGCAAAGAAGAGTGTCTGTTCAGACAGTATGTGTGTCTGTTCGTCTAGAGTTGTGCCTGTCCAAAGGTAAAGTCAATAGGTAAAGTCCCAGTTCTGGTCTAAGTCAAGGGGACAGTCCAGATCCAGACTTTCAAGTCCAAATCTAGGCCGAGAGGCCTCAGCAGCAGTTGAACCTCATTGGGACTATACTGGGACACATGCAATGCAGGGTCTGGGACAAAGGAAAGGCTGAACTGAGCCAATGCAGACCCAGCGAGGAGTGGCCAGCACTATAAAGGAAGCAGCCATCCTCATTCCTCGCCAGATTTCCACTGGCTTCAATGCGTGGAAGTGCTGTTGCGCTTGTGCGCTAGTCAGTAGGAAGCTGCGCTGAAGAAGAAGATGCGCTGGACACAGATTGTGCGCTGGAAGGGATGCATCCATAGCTGCCCAGCGAATTAGTAGTAGAGTACAGGGTTAGCAGAAGTCAGCTATGAGTAAGTATTCAGAGTAGATCCTCATGAGTGAAGAGTGTGTATGCATCTTAGGAGGGAGAAAGAGACTGAGGCAGGGAGTGTTCATTCAAAGTTTGGCTATGGAAGATACTTACCTGAGTTGGATGTGAACTGCACAGGTGGCGCTGATGAGTAGTGACCACATTGATGACTTGGAGACAATCTGCAGGAGTAGCGCTGATGCATTGGAAGTCATATATTGATGAGTTGACAAGAGATTTGTGTTGCGTTGATGAGCGCTGGACTCAGGGGAACTTTGAAACACTTTGTATTCATATTTCTGATAATATAAGCAGTGAAACTCGGTCCACTTCTCATCTACCTTTGTCTATGACTGGAGACTATTGAACATTGTGTGTGAGGATGATGCATGACATATACACACTTGCGTGAGATGGTCCCGAGGACCCATGCAGTTGGCAACGTAATAAAAATAGTAAAATACTAATAATATTATAACAGCCTATTAGGACACTCGCAGTTGCATAGGTGCTTTCATTTGCTGACAAGCACGTGCTATTTTATTTGTTGCCTTGTATAGCATCTTTTTCTGCAATCCTTAACTCGAATATACGCTAGAAATTTTATTTTTTTAATCTTTTTAAATGACCACCCCCGGGAGGAGAAAGGTCTTGATTCTTGGGAATGTCATCAGTGTTCTAATTCAAAGCTCCTTGCTGTGCTTTGTGGGGTGCAATGTCTTGGCCTGTCGATTGGCTTGAAAATCTGAAGAGTCTTTGGAAGCGCCTCCTGCAATACCGACACAAGCAACAGCTTGCGCACAGGGTACGCAGCTGGGGGACTTGTCAGCAGTGAACGCATCATGCAAGAATCCAGCACCAGAAGCCGTGTGCTCAGAATGCCTGGCTGCTTTGATGAAGACCGTCGCTATGGTTCCCACTGTGAAGGGGGACCCTATGACTGCCGAGATCATCGGCACATGTACACAGCGCATAGTAGAGAAGGGCATAATAAATGCTGAAGTTGCTTTCATGCTGACAAGTTGCCCGGTAAATCTCCTGCATCTCCTTGTGATCCGTCACCCCCTGTTCTACTCACTCCCTGCTTTTCCCAAGGGCCTTCTTGCCAGTTCCCCTATGTGCACAACCTGTTGTACCAGGAAACAACATCTTGACCTGGTTTGACAGTTTGACCACACGCCGTGCCAGCCACAGCACCACTCTTGATTCTCTGTGTCTGTACCAAGGCACAAGCTTCTAGACCAAGCGACAAGCAATGGTCACTTCCCTGTGTGTCTATACCAGGCAACAAGCGTCTAGACCAAGCGACAAGCAATGGCAAAAAGAAGGAATAGGATTCGGCGGATATGAAGCGAGGATAGAGAAAAATCTGGTCCAAAAATGAATGGCGGTAAATGTGTGGCCTTGCCGTGCGGATGGGAACTGGGCAAACTGGCCCCAGCGTGGCAGGCTCCATTATGTCGTACTGTGGGCACTTTCTGCATACAAATCATGGTGATTTTAGTCCAAAAATTGTTTTTTTCAAGTCCAAAAATTGGTCAAAGATGATCCTGTTTTGCTGTTTATGCTTTCTCTATTTATTGGATTTGAGTGTCCCCTACTTTGCCTTCCCCCCATCCCATCCCCCTTCCCCCTCCCCATCCCGCTTTTGCCTCCCCACCTTATCCCCCTTTCCCCTCCCTGCCTCTTCGCCCTTTCCCCTCCCCACCCTTTCCCCCTTCCCCCTTCCCCCTTCATGACTTTTCCACTCCGCTCCAAACCACCAACCATCCTGTTTCGCTCTTTCATTCTGTTGCAATGAATTGCAGTGTTATGCAGGCTGTACACTACTTCCATCTGTTTTGCCTGGTTTTGAGCTCTCCGGGACTTGATCCTGTGACCCGTACCGTGTTTGTGTGTTTCTTTGTATGTGTGAGCCGTCCTGGGCTCAATCCCTAGGTCCGAGTGTGAGAGTCTCTGTAGGGTAGTCATAGAACCACTGGGCCTATCTGTTTTGTCCTTTTGTGCCTTTGAGTTGTAGGTCGTTTCTGTCCTTCCCTATTGTCAATTTTAGGTCTAGATTCGGTCCTAGGCTATAGGCTGTCGTTCCTAGGCTGTAGGCTATCGAGTGAGGGAAAACAGCAGTCTACAAAAGTGTCGAGGGCAAGGGAAAACGGGTTCTGTCTCGCCATTTTTTTTCAACGAAGCGCTGTTGGAGGCTGCTCCCTGCTTGGTGTTTCGTTATCTTACCTACAGCACCATCTTCATGCTGTGAGGGCTAGTAGCCATTGCTGGGGCTACCTAGCTCATGTTGACACAGCCCTGGGCATCAGGCCCGGTGCTCTGTGGGGCGCCTCCTCTTATCTGTGCTGTTGGGGATAGTCAGCGCTGCCGTCGAGACCCTTCGAAGTGTGAAGTGGCATCCATCTTCTTCTTCATCGAGCGCTGGTGTTCTTCTTGTTCGTCCTGGGAGCTACCCTGCCCTGTTGAGCGGACACTTCATCTGCGGTGGGCATAGAGATTGGGCTGCTGATTGGCGTGTCGGGTTCAGGAGGGTTGGTGGCGATTGGTGGGCTTGATAGGTTGGGCACAGGCCTGCGCCATAGCTGTGAGCTCGAGGGTGGGAGGAAGAAGAAGTCTCCCTTTATGAAACTCTGTAAATAGTTGGTTCGTGGATGTTGATAATGTGGTTGAGATCCTGGGAATTTTGGTGCTGATTGAACTAGAGAACCTTTTTCTGGTCATTTTTTATGTCTGCACGTCTGTGCATACATTGGCTGTTTGTCTGCCTGCCTGCTGACCTCCCCCCCTTTTCCACACACACATAGCCTCTGCCCTTCCATGCTCTGCTCCCTCTTCATCCACCTGTCTGTCCCTCAGTTTGTCTGGTTTTCCGCTACCGTCTTCCGAACAGAACACACCCTGATAAGGAATCTATACGGACTATCTTTCTGGCTTGATGCAGTCAAAATGAGGGTGCGTTGTGTTCGGGGTTAGACGGTAGTTGTTTGCGTGTTTGTGTGTTACGCTCATCGGGCCTCGTCTTTGGTACTGCGTCTGTTTGGACAGGTTCACTCTACAAATGCCAGTTGCCCTGTTGGGTCCGTGAGTCAGCTCGATGAAGATGCCAAGGACTTTCTGAAGGCGGAATGCAATCCAAATGAGACGGATACGCCAGGATTTAAGTTCTGCGATCTCTGTCGGCCTGCTTTTGTTTTCACATTGTACTCTATTCCGGAATTGGATCCGTCTAATCCCTCGATGATCATTTCATGTGTACAAACGCTGGCAATGTCGTTTCCGGGAACAGTGGAAGGTCTTTCTGATGACCAGAAACGGGATATTTTGGGTTGTTTCAACGAGGTGAGCAATGGGCAAATTTGAAATTTCATTTTGCGTCGAGCCAATGCATGGTGGTGTATTTGATTTTCATCCTGATGGTAGAAGGTGAACTGGGATTATGTTCCCAGCTGTGGAACGGAGCCATGAATCTGAACTTTTTCTAAAGAAATTCCAAATAGCAGCGGTCAAGCCCCTTGGGATAGAACCCCAGTTCCGTACAAGTCTGGCGGATGGAGCGAATGAAAGTTAGGAGCAGTCGATTAGTTTATTACTGTGGACGTGAGGACCTATTACGATGTTACGATGTTGCTGAGTCCGAATGTCTTGTTCACTTTTGTTGGAATGACAACAAACAAGGCAGGTAACAAAGTGTACTGACTGGCCTAGCTCAGTTGGTACACACCTGAACTGTTGAAATACAGACCTAAGTTCGAACTCCACTGGAAGCTGACGAGTAAAATAATATAATTATGAATTACCGAGGGACGGTCGGTTCGATGATGGGATATCTGAAGGCCGTCGCCTTTTTTTTTTTTTGAAAAAAAAATGAACCAGGTAACGAAGTTGCGAGTATTGTCCTGTGGTGTGTCTGCATTTCTTCATGCCAACGAGTGAATAGTAGGCAAAGGCACGAACTTCGTGTGTATGGAGTCTATGGACGAACTTGAACCACCAGTACGTGGCCCCAGCCAAGTTAAGAATCCGATTGAGCCTCTACTGAAATTTCAGAGGCTCGGGACTTGGCGTCCGAAGGGCCAGTAGAAAAAAAAAAGTGGGAAACTACGTGGGAGTCACAAAAAAGAGTTATAATTGTTCGATGGGCCAAGATACAGTTTGCAATTCCAGTTCAGGCAACTGCGAGGCATAGGCCTCGATAAGCCCTACTGGGCCCCTATTTGCAATAGGTCGGCCGCCCTAAGTGAAGGCAGGCCCGACAGACGACAAGAGGCCTATATTGGACTACTTCGCAACTGGGGAAAATTCAGGCAGTTGAGTAGTGCCAGTTGGTTGAAGGCGCCCAGGCCCTGGCCTCCTTTATGGACTGTATCTAAGTCAGGCATTGGGCGAGATACGCAGCATAGACCCAACTCAGACAGCGGGCAGTTGGGCACGGGTAACTGTCGGTGGCCCTGGGCCTGATTCGTTTGGTCTGAGGCTCAGCCTCCCTGGGCCTACCGGAAGCTTCTGGGCAGGGACCCAGTGCAGCCAGGCTGCACACAAGCAGGCTCGCCACTTCCATTTAGGAAAGGGCCAGCCTACGCATTCGGCATTCGGGCACTGGCTGCTTTGTGCGCAAGCGCTGCTGCGCTATCGCTGGCCAGGCTCACGCGCTCACGGGCGAGCTGGCAGCCATAGCCGAGCTGCGCTGCTGGATGCTGGATGGGGCGCATAGTGGTCCTTGGGTGCAAGTGGCATCTGTGAGTTGGGGAACGAGGTTGTGAGTGATACGAGAGACATACCTGGTGCTTGAAGCGTGCGGCATTGGCCAAGATCTGCTCGTACTTGGGAAGCTGTTGACGTCATCAGCGGCATTGTAGTCTAGGCTAGATAGGATCTGCCATTCGTAGTCTGGGCGCCGAGCGTCAGATAGGATATCAACATTGGTTCTTCGTTGATGATGATGAGACTATTCAAGCATTGTCAATTATGAGCTTTTGGTGTGCTCTTATTTGGTGGAAACTCGTGATGCAATTCTGCTATTGGTTCGAGGTCACGACTATCTGGTTTTATGTGTATGATGCTGTTTGATTGCTGAAGTTCGCTATTGCTCATCTTCCTTGCACAATGTATACAACCCAGCTTTCTGGCCAGGTAGGGTGCCCGAATTGCAATTGCAAACTGTATCTTGGTCCATAGTGCAATTATAACTCGTTTCTGTGACTCCCGCATAGTTACCCCTCCAAAACAAATTGCCCCATGCCGTGGGGTGGCACTAGGCCCACCCCTGAACAGAAAAAAACATTCGGCGCCCAGACTACAGATGGCAGATCCTATCTAGTCCCATCATCATCAACGAAGAACCAGAGTTGATATCCTATCTGGCGCTTGGCGCCCAGACTACAGATGGCAGATCCTATCTAGCCTAGACTACAATGCCGAATGATGACGACAACAACTTTCCCAAAGTACGAGCATACAGCGACCAACATCGCATGCTTCCAGCACCAGGTATGTCTCTCGCCTCACTCACAACCTCGTTCCCCAACACACAGATGCCACTTGCACCCAAGGACCACCCTGCGCCACACCCAGCTTACAGCAGCGCAGCTCCGCTATGGCTGGCTGCTCCTTCCTGCTCACCTGTGAGCGCGTGAGTGCCAGCGAGCTTCAGCGCAGCAGCGCTTGTGCAGCATGCAGCCAGCACCCGAATACCCAATGTGGAGGCAGGCCCTTTGCTATATCGAAGTGGCCTGCCTGCGTTCAGTCCCAGGACGCTTCCAGTAGGCCCCGGTAGCCTGAGGCCCAGCACGAACGAGAACAGGCCTTGGGCCTGAGGTGGTTGCATGCACCCAACTGCCTTTGGCCTGTGTTTGGCCCAGTACCCGTATCCAGCCCAGGGCCTGCTTTCCATACATTCACACAGGCGGCCCAGGGCCTGGGTTCTCTCAACCAACTGGCGCTGCGCAATTGCCTGAATTTCCTTAGTTGCGCAGTGGCCGAAATAGGGCCCTGAGAGCCTCGTCAAGCCTGCCTTCACTTAGGGTGGCCGACTTGCTCCAAAATGGGGCCGAATGGGGCCGAATGGGGCTCATAGAGGTAGTGGCCTCGCATTCCCTCCTCCTTAGCTTCAGCAGTCCTTTGAGAAGCTCAGTCTTCAACCATTGGGCGCTTTCCCTTCTGCAGAGATCTCTCGTAGTGCGCTACAACTTGTGGAGAAGTCTGCATGAGTTCCTCCCTGGTGAACCAGCGGTCCTCCTTCGGATCAGTGTGATGCCGGAACCGAACGCGGTACTGCAGCTTCGGTTTCGGAGGACGTCCCCTGCCTGTTGGTCTTGACACTGGCAGCTCCTTGTGGTCCACGATATCATCGATATCCACCTCTCCGTCCATGGTTGGGGCCAGCATTGAGCGACGAGAGAGGAACTGATCAGTTTCTTTAAAAGGTGCAAGTTTGGAGGCGTGAAAGACGGGGTAAGTACGAAGATGACCAGGGATCCGGACTAGGTAAGAAGGTCCATCCGGATCAGTCCCAACAATACTGTGGCATGAGCTTGCGGGAGATCCCGTGCTCCTGTCCCAGTTCTGAGGACCTAACCCAGAGGCTGTCCCCAACCTGAAATGAAGACTCACAGCGGTGTTTGTTCGCAGATTCTATCATAGCCGCCTGTGCCTTCTGCATCTGTTCTACAGCCTGCTGCATCTTCTGTTAGTACTGGTAAGCAAATTCTAAGGTACCCGGAGCAGCAGTTGCCTGGTTCTCAGGAAGAAGGAAATCCAAGGGTAGTCTAGGCTTAAGGTCAGTAGTAGGCTGTTTGGGCTCACCCCGATAGCGTTGTGTACCGCGTTGTTGTACAAGCTGGCGATGAGAGCAAGCTTCTCATCCCACTCCACCTGGTTGGGCTTGATGTAATGCCTCAACAGGTGTTGGACAGCGTGGTTCAGTTGCTCGGCTTGGCCATTGGCCTCTGGGTGGTTCCCAGAAGTCATTTGCAACTGTGTTCCCTGTTCCGCAGCGGCGGCCTTCCACAACTCGCTGGTAAATCGGACATCTCTATCACTTATAATGGACTTCAGTAAACCAAAATCCCTGACCCAGTTCTCTTTGAACGTTCTAATCACATACTCCGTTTTTGCTGTTTTCGGCATCGCTACTAACCTAGCATACTTACTAAATCTATCCATGATAACGAAGATGTGCCTCATCCCACTCTTGCTGGTGACCAGTGTATCCATGAAGTCCATGGACAAGCTTTCACTAGGCCTTTCCGGAATCGGAAGGGGCTTCAGGAGCCCAAAAGGAGCCTGAGTACGTGGCTTGTCTCTTTGACAGACCTGACAAGTCTCCACGTACAGCTTCGCATCTCTGATCATCATGGGCCACCAGAATCGCTGCAACAGATTGGCTGCAGTCTTCTTAAAGMCAAAATGTCCGGTGGCATCATGACATTCTCCTAGAAATAAACTACGCAAAGACTCCCTATTAGGAATACACAAACGTTTATTCCCAGCCTTGTCAAGGAACAGCAAGCCGTTGACCAACTCAAACTCGGCAGAAGTCACTTTTTCCTTTGCCTCGAGTCTACGGATGATCTCTGACATGAACGGATCCTCGCGATAGGCTTCCACCATGGACTGGGTAACATTGTCCTCAAGCCCAAACTCAGTGATCAGCGCACCTGAGAAATCAGGTCTACGCGACAAGGCATCAGCAACCTTGTTGTACTCGCCCTTGATGTATTGGGGCTCGAAGTCATACTGCTCTATGACTTTGATCCAACGCTTGAGAGCGTCAGAGAGTACCGGCTGAGTTCTCATCCATCTCAGGGTCTGATGATCAGTCCTGAGGATGAAGAACCTCCCAAGGAGATAGTGTGTACACCGCATAGAGTTCCTTCTCATAGGTGGACTTTGCCAACTTCTGAGACGGCATCTTTTTGGACATGTACTCGACATGCCTCAACTTTTCCCCCTCTTGTTGTGCAAGTACGGCGCCTATGCCATATTGGCTAGCATCCGTAGTCACTATAAATGGCTTGTCAGGATCAGGAAGTTTCAAGACTTCGTAATGCGTCAACGCATGCTTCAGATGTCTGAAAGTAGCCTCGCATCTCTCAGTCCACTCCCATGGGGTGTTAAGGCGGGTCAGATCAGTCAAAGGGGTGGCAACTACGCTATAGTTCTTCACAAAGTTGCGATAGTAACCAATCATCCCTAAGAAAGATCTCATCTCAGTCACAAACTGAGGACGCGGCCAATCACGAATGCTGGCCACCTTCGCGTCATCGGGCTTCAACCCTTCCGCGGAAATCTCATGACCCAAGTACAAGACACGGGTGCGGCCAAACTCGCATTTCTCACCG